AGCTCAGGCTGTGGCCGTATTTGGAGGTGGGGCCTTTGAAGAGGTAATGAGGTGAAATGAGGCCATGACGGGGGGTGTTAAGTCTGGTCCTCATGGCGGAGATGTCAAGGAATCCCACCCAGAGGGGAGGCAGGCGAGAGGCCTCAGGAGGAACCAGCCCTGCCCACATCGTGACCTTGGACTTCCGACCAAGACTGGGGACCAAGTTTCTGTTGTTCAGGCGCCTGGCTGTGGTATCTGTTCCGGCCTCCGGCTGACTCACACCCTGAGGATGCCGATCCGTCAGCTCAGGAGGCCGCAGCCTCGCGACACTGCGCGGAGGTTCTCCTCTGGGCTCCTCCCAGGCCCCCCTGAGCTTCAGCTCTGCTCTGCCTCCCTGGCCACGTTCCCTGCAGCCCTCTCTGCTGCAGGAGGGGCAGCAGCTGCTGGGCTGGGCCAGAGAGGCCACCACCCCAAGAGGAGCAGTTCTGCCCCAGGGGAGGGCCCTCAGCCAGTGGTCTCTGCACTGCACCATTGACTGGGTCCAGGGACCCTACCTGCCCAACCCTGGGGTCCTGCACAGCAAGAGGCTGCTGGGTCACCCCAGTGCCCAGGTGGCTCTGAGACCTGGCCCCTCTCTCAGGGAGGAAGGTGAGGAAGGGTCTCTAACACTTCCCTCTAAGTGGCTTTTAGGCAAGTTTGTACCCCAATGCCCAAGCACCCCCAGTGCCTCCTCTGTCTTCAGGAAATGAGTTGGGGTGGGTGCTTTTAGTGCCCCAGCACCCCTTTCCAGGGCCCTTGCCCCCCCATGCCCTTCTGCAGAGAACAGTCACTGCTGTTGGGCGTGGCCAGAAGATCAGGTTCTACCTGATGGGCAGCCTGGTGCCCGGTGGGACACTGAGGCTAGGAGCCAGCACTGGGGGCAGCCTCTGCGAGGGGCACTGAGCTCAGGAGCCCAGCAGAGTTGGGCTAAGGTTGGACTTCCAATCACACCTGCTCGCTCCCTCCCTCCCTCCCCCTGCAGTCAGGCTGGGGCCCAGGAATCCCTGTTTCAGACACACCTCACAGGAGGTCTCCCGGGGTGTGGGCTGGGCAGCCTGAACCTTGTCACCTGCAGGGCACACTTCTTTTTAAGGGAAGAGTCAGGAGGCCATGCTTGGAGGGGCTGGGCAGGGCTGGGAGGGGAAGGACAGGTCTGCTCGGGAGGGAAGGAGGGAGGGAATGAGCGGTGTCCCTGAAGGCCTGGGGTTGGGAGCAGCAGGCTTGGTGCCCAGTACCCAGAGGCCCTCCCTGAGGCTGACAGTGGACAAGCCTGTCCACCCTAAATTCCACTACACCTGGGGGCATACAGAACATTCCCGAAGAAATGCTTCCTGCTTCCCTCCCCACTCATACCCCACGAGGCCCAGCCCAGAGCCTATTCCCCTAACAGAGCCCCAGACCACCCAGGAAGGGATGTTCCATGGGGTCATGGGGTTGGAGCTAGGGAAGTGGGGGACAGCGGGCTCTCTGGCCTTTCCCCTCAGTTGTTCTTCCCCGCATCTTACAGCATACAGTTTGCCCTGGACAGTACACGGCCCTGGGGGGTCCTGAAGGAAGGAACCTGAACCCCATAAGTACACCCCTCCCCCCAGTCTCCTGCAGGGCAGCTCTTGGGCCACCTCCTGAGACCCAGCTCAGGGCAGGTCCTACCCTACCACCTGGGCCACTCCATCCCCTGAATGGGCCTCAGTTTCCCCATCAGTTAAAAGAAGAGACTTCAGTGATCCCCAACCCCTCTCCTTCAGCACCTGAGGCACCTGCCATGCAAAGCTACAAGTGGCTTCATTTGGTATCTACCACTGGTCACATATTTTGTCTATGAAATGGTGGCTTGGAAGGCGGCCAGCCACACCTGCCATCCATCCCAGCCACTCCCCACCAGCCTGGCCTGGTCTCACGGCTCCCAGTGGTTCCTAGGGCCTGGGGTGGGCAACCTGAACCTTGTCACCTTCAGGGCACACTTCCTTTTAAGGGAATGTCAGGAAGCCATGCTTGGAATTTCCCTGCATGGCCAGCTCCTGGGCGTAGCTGCCTTCTCAGCCAGGATGCTGAGGAGCTGAGCCAAGGGGACCTGGGGACCGAGAGGAGGGGCCTGGCAGCCCGGAATGTGCCTGAAGCACCCAGGGCCGGGCAGAGCCTTGTGCTGAACCAATTGGCAGGTTTGTCTCCCAGGCGGGCGAAGGGCCTGAAGGTGACAGGGCCAGGTGGGAACAGCCACATCAGGTCTGGAAGAAGATGGAAAGGCCCTGCCAGAGCTGCCCGCGATAACTGGAAGGTTCAGAGATGATCAGATAAGATGTCTGCAGGCCGGGCTTTAGGAGCACCTAATGACAGGCCCGGCCACCCAGCAAGGGCAGTGTCTATCATCAGCCCTGAGAAAGGGTCACCTGCCCCAGGTCACCAGGCAGGTCTGGGGAAGGGCTAGAGTGGGAAGCCACCCCTCCCGTGTGACAAGTCTGTCCAGAAGCCCGGCCACCTTCCCAATCTTCATGGCAGCCTGGAGAAGGGTGCCCCGCTTCCCCCAAACCCACGGGAGGAAGGCTGGTCCTGTGCTCACAGGCGGCTGAGGTTGCCATGCCACCTGGTGGGCCCGAGCCTGGAGCAGGTCACAGTCCCTCAGGGGGTCTGACCACCCCCACTCACTGACCTCATAGCTAGACTAATACCAGGTGGCAGCCACCACCAACACATACCTCTCCCTCCCAAGGGAAGCAGGACCTTCTGTTTCAGTCCCTAATCACCTGCCAGGACAACCTGCTGTCTTTTTACTGACCCCCCAGGAGGATGGGCTGCCCTGGGCCCTGCACAGCCCGCACCTTCCAGCCCCTCACTGTCCCGGGGGGACGGGAGCCTGCTATTCCTGGCCCTGCCCACCTTGGAGCTCCCCACCATCCCGACCACATCAACAAGGCACCAGAGGTGAGACCGAGGCCAGACCCCTGGCTCACCTGAAGGTACCTGCCACAGAGCCCACTCTGGGCCCAAGACACCATTTAGCAACTGGGCCATGAGCTGAACCAGACCTGTGCACACATGTGCATGTACACCCCCCCCACACTCACATGTGCACGCCCCACACTCACACTTGCGCACGCTCACACAGGTACATGCATTCACAGCCCCAGTCACACACGCACATATGCACACATGCATGCACAGTCCTCCCAGTGCAACGTGGCCGGAGGCTGGAAGTGGGGGCAGCTGTGAGGACCGTGGGGCCAGCTGGGACAGACAGAACCGAGTCAGGGACCCACGTGAAGATCAGCTGGAAAACAGCACCTCTAGCCACTTACAAAGTAACATCCACCAAAACGTGACAACCAAAATCACCATGTAACACTCAAGTAACAGGAAACCTGTCTTCTGGGAACTCAGAGCCATGTTCCCCAACTCGTGTGCCCCTGACACGCACGCTGGGAGCTCACACACATGCACACCCACTGCCATCACCCCTGGGCACCCACATGCGTGCACAGAGGCTGTGCTACCTGGCGCGATGAGGCCGTGGTGCTTGCAGTGCACTATGGCAGCCACCAGAAGGTCCTTGAGGACACGCAGGACCTTGCTGGGCACAATGTGGCCGCAGCACTTGGCGCCGCCGTCCAAGGCAGAAGTGAAGACGTCCTCGGTCATCCACTGCTCCAGGCCAGCCCCTTCCCTGGGGACACCCAGGCGGAAGGACACTGGGCCATTGTCCGCCTTGGCGGCCCCGGGCTCCTCACTCAGGAGGGCCTCGGCGTCCACCCTCAGGGGCACCTCCATATCTACTGGGCCGTCCGAGGAGCGCAGGGCGAACTGCAAGGCCTCCAGGTCCCGGGAGTAGTCCACCAGGAAGCGGGGGTCCCGGGCGTGCGCGAGCTCCAGCACCGTGAGCAGCACGTCCTCTGCGCGCTGGTAGTCCTGCGCCCGGGGCGCACCCCGCGAGCGGATGGCCCGCAGGTAGTGGTGCCACAGGGGCACCTGCACCGCCATGGCTGGGGCCAGGGCAGAGGACTCGGCCCCGGAGGGCCAGGCTGTGCCGAAGGCTGGAAGCAGGCACCTGCCCAGGTGAGAGCAGGTCCGCAGGTGGGGCACGGCTCGCTCAGAGCAGAATTCCAGAGTGACGTGGGTGCAGCAGGTTAAATAGCTGAACCCGTCCCAAGCCTTTGAAGTGAGGGTGAGTCAGCCATCAACAATTAGGAATGCCACAGGCGCAGAGAGGGGCTGGTTACGGGGGCGGGGCCTCGCTGGGCTCCTTCCTCTCCAGGCTGAGACTCCCCCCCAGGCCTGGCCTCCTCCCGCCGGCTGTCCCTGGAGGTGGGGGCCTGTTTCTGGTCTTCCCCCTCCCACCCTTACCCCAGTAGCAGCAGCCTCAGGGTCTCTGCGACATCGGGGGGCCTCCACCAGATTGGTGGTTGGACACAAGGCATCCCCTTCTCTCAGATGTGAAAGGTGAGGCAGGGTGGTGGCTGCCCCAGACCCTGAGTGTGGGGCCCGCCCCTGCCCACCGCCTCCCAGCAGTCTTTCTCTGAGGCAGCCTGGAAGCAACCAGCCTCAGGCCAGGGCTGGGGGCTGCATTTCCATAGTAACCTGAACATCCCCTCAGGCACCTGTGCCCCCACCTTAAAACTGGGAACCTCAAACTTGGTGCCCACCAAAGTCCAGGTGTGAATCCAGCCCCTACCCATGGCAAAGCCTGTGTCCAGTGCCCCCGATGCCCACCTCCAGCCTTGGGCCCTCAGGTTGCCCATTACCCACCCAACCTGGCCTTCAGCCTAAGAGGAGCACCCACCTGGGCCTGGAGCTGGAGCCAGTCTGGTTCTAGGGGAAGTCTCCTTGGCTCCACCTCTTGGGGCTGGAAAGCCCCACCCTGCCAGCCCCTCCAGTACCTGTGCTGGGCACCCTGCCCGGCACAGCCGCCTCCCTGCTCAAGGCTGTGCAAGTCCCAACCAGCAGGTGGGAGCCGCCCCTGTGATCCTTGGCCCCTCCAGGCTGGCCGTGTGCATCAGGTCTTCCCACTGGAGCTTCTGCAAATAGCGACCATGGAAACGGCCCCACGGAGATGGCCCCAGACAGGTATCACAGAGACGCCACCCGCAGCCCACCCGAGGAGCTGGGTGCCTGAGTCAGAGCTGTGGGCAGAACCGGGATCCAAGGCACTCACTTCCTGGAAGCCTTTCTGAGGATCTGCAGCCCCAGTGACTGGGCCTCTGCTTCCATGCCTCCTAAGATGGGGAGCTCCCCACCTGACTGGGAGCCCATTACACAATCATGCAAGAGACAGATTTCCTTCCTCCAACCTGGCCCAGTCCTGTCTTCTGGGGTTGCCCAGAGCACGTCTGCCCCTCCCCCAGGACTGTTGCTCAGACTCAAGGACCATGTGCCCTCACCCCCGTCCCACACCGCCTGCACCGGCTCTATTCCCTGCACACACAGACCTTTACATGACCACCCCCTCCCTGGTCTCCAGGGGCCTCTGGCCTGCAGGGAGGGGAGTGGCTGCAGGGAGCTGGCCCGGCAGCCCTCGTCCTGACGCTCCGTCTCCGGCCCTGTCCGGGCTGTGGCTTCCGGGTCTGCGAGTCGGATTCTCACTTTCCTCCATGTTCCCAGGAATCTCATAACTGTCTCCTGAATCTGCCCAGGGGACGAGTCGGCCTCTGTCTACGCAAAGCGCCCAGGGCTCGGAGTCAAGATGAGGGTCCAGCTCCACGCCCGACAAGCTGCCTGTGGGGGACAGTGGAGCAGGGGTCCTCCCGCTAGACTAGGGGTGGGAGGGGTCACGGTCCTGAGAGCAACGGCAGTTGGGAGAGAGACAAAGTCAGAGTGTCACACTGTCCCACGCTGCCTCCCTGGGTGGGGAATGCTCCTCAGAGTATCCCGGAGCCGGCACGAAGGCCGGCCCCAGCAGGCAGCTGGGCAACGCCGTGAAGCTGTGGGCAGGTGAAGGCGGGAAGATGGACGTTAGTGGCACCTGGACCAGGCAGAGCAGAGAGGGAGGGCGGAGCTGCTGGCACAGGACACGCAGGTACCTGCCAGCCTGGCCAGCCGTGGGCCTCGAGGAACCACTACCCCAGAGGCCTGCAGGCCACCGCCCAGGCCTATCGCCCTGCAGACCCGGGGGGCAGTGTGGCTT